CTAGGGTTTGGGAGAGTGAAATGAGGCCAAAAATCTGATTATTGGGCCTTTTATATGCCAAGTGGAATTAAATCTGGGCCATTGGATCAAGAATAAGGGAGGGCTCAGATTTCATCTTGATTTTATTAAACAAAGTGATGTAGTTTCACCTTGAAACTACGTCGTTTTGAATTTTTTCCTAGCAACCACTCAATTAAACATGATATTACACTCTTAGCCACCTGTTCATTTTAATTTTAGCCCATTTTTCCTTAATCCTACTTATTAAACTAATTTTACACAAATAAATTAATTAAATAACTTATTCTAATGATCAATTAACTAGATTAATTCACCAACTGAACACCTAGTTAATTCTTAAAATGCACAAATTAAGAAAGAACTAATTTTTTTTACTATTTTATGATAAGAAATATGCAATTAAAGGCACAAAAATTAAGAAAATAATTTAAATAACAAAACACTAATAACTTTAGGAGGTGTTAAAATAGTGCAAAAATTAAGTGTTCACACCCGATCCCCAAACAAGTTCAGTTAACAATAATAACTTAATAATCAAGATTTACGAGAAATCATACGTCAAGAGAACAAATGTACGACCAATAAAGAATAACATGATAATGTAAGGGACTCGGACCACTTGGATGTCTCAGCGTTACCAACTTAACGGTATCTACCATTTAACAATGCATTCAAGTTAAACTGGCAACATTTAATACGAAATTATAAGGCAAACAAGGAATAAGACAATTTAGATATGTAAGGGAAGCAAATTGACTCAAGTAGTAAATAAGCATGGAATTATGGAGAGGGTGGACAATTTAATACAAGAAACACTAAATGGCAGGTCAATTATGGCATGGAAATCAAATAAGCATGCAGCAAGTAAGGCATGAAATAAGATATACTATGAATCAATGAAAGTAGGGAAGCAAGTAATGTAACGGCACGTATACAATTGTCACCTCGCATATACCGCATTTCACACATAATTCACATAATATGTAATCCAAGAGTCCCTAATTCCCTCAAATCAAGGTTAGACCCAACACTTACTTCACTCCGCAATCAACTCAAAGTTCAACCATGACCTTGCCTTTCGAACAAGCCTCCAAACCAACCAAATCTAGCAAATTATTGACCAAACGATTCAAAATAAGCTTTAGAAACTACCCACGAATGAAACGGGTTCAATTTAGATCACTTTTGAAAAAGTTAACAAAAGTCAACCCCGGACCCGCTTGGTCAAAATCAAAATTCGGACCAAACTCGAATACCCATTCACCTCCGAGCCCGATTATGTAATTTGTTTTGAAATACGACCTCAATTCGAGCTCTAAATCCCAAATTTACAAAAATTCCTAATTCTACCCAAATTCCTAATTTCTACCATGAAAATCCTAGATTTGATGTTGGAAACTTATGAAATGTAATGGGTAATTGAAAAAAAGTAGATTAAAGTCACTTACCAATGAATTTAGGAGGAAAATCTCTTGGAAAAATCGCCTCTAGAGTATTTAGGGTTGAGAGTTTGAAAGAAATGAGCTAAATCCCATTTCCCCCCTCTTCTACTAGCTCCAGATGTAGCAATTGCGATATCTTGTTCACAATTGCGAACATCGCAAATGCGAAGCATAGGCCGCAAATGCGAACTATGCCTCAAAAGCCAGAAGTCCGCGACAAATTGATCGCAAATGCGATTTGCCCCATTCGCAAAAGCGACCAGATCCTTCACAAATGCGAAGATGCCCAAACTCACATATCATCACAATTGCGATGACGGAGTTGCAAATGCGGACACAAGACATATCGCAAATGCGACTCTTTCCTCGCAAATGCGAGAACCCCAGTCCCCAGCCCATGCTCGCAAATGCGATGAGGTGATCACAAAAGCGAGGCTCGCATTTGCGACCCAGACCTTGCAAATGCGAGATCTGCAGTACAACACCAGAAACAAAAATGCATCAGCTATTTCAAAAGTCATACAAACATGCACACAAGTGTAATAACATCATACAAACTTGTTCGTGTAGTCAAAACACCAAAATAACATCTAGAACTATGAATTAGACACCAAAACAAATGAAATTTTTAAAAGAAATTTAAGAACTCTCAATTTCAACCGGACGTCCGAATTACATCAAATCAACTCTGTTTTGCACCAAATTTTGCAAACAAGTCAGAAATACTGAAATGAAACTACACCAACTTCCGAAACCGTAATCCGAACCCTGTAGCAACAAAGTCAACCTACGGTCAAATTTAGGAATTCTTTAAACCTTTAAACTTCTAATTTTCAACAAATTACCTTAAATCAAGTTAGGGACTTTCAAATTCGATTTCAGGCATATGCCCAAGTCCCAAATCACGATACAAATCAACCGGGATCGTCAAAATACAGATTCGGGTCTGTAGTCAACTCAAATGAGTTTTTAAGACTAAATTTCACTTTTTCATAGATTTTTCACATAAATTTTTTTTGAAAAAAGATACGGACTGCGCATGTAAATTGAGAAAGGCTAAACGGAACTATTCGATGTCTAAGAGCACATAAATAAAAGATAAAACTATAAATGATCTATCGGGTCATCATACAAATCGAATCCCGAACACTATTAGATAGGAATTTACTCAAAACGTGGAAACCAACACACGTGGTATGTTTTTAACAAAAATCAAAATCTGTATTTGATTTCAATGTTAGAAAAACTTGGAATCCCAGAAACGTAGTAGGTCTTGTACAAAAATAATTTTAATTTTTGATCTTTTAAGCCAAGCTTCAAGTAAAGAATTTTGTGACAAGTAGTAAAATTTATAATTTTAATAACTTGTAAAGTATAAAAATTAAAATTTAAAGAAACATGTACTTTTATCTTTTTTCTCATTTTTTTTGTTGTAAAATTTACTACTAGCAAAAGTTTTTGTTTTTAAATAATCCGTTCATCTCAAAAAAGTATGGCGGTGTTAAATCTATGAAAGTCAATACAGCATGTTCATGCTAAGATTTCTTAATTTTTATGAAGTAACATTTATATATCTAAAAATATACAGCATATCACCATTTTAAAATTTAAAATATTTTAATAGATTGTAGTAAAAAATATTTAACTTCTCAAATAATGCCAGTCTTGTTTATGTTGACTTCCCAATCAATAATAATGCTTGTGATTTCAAGCAGTGATGAAGCCGGATCAATTGAATCCTTTTTACTAGATAATTATACTATATCTTTCTATATTTATATAGTATATTATTTGTTAAACTCCGTTTACATAAAATAAAATTCCAGTGACAACTTTAAACATGCCAATTGTTTTCCTACATATCCACAGCAAGAAACTGTAAGAAGATGGTTTCCAAAGATGAAGACTTGTCATTAGTGACGCAGAGGATGATGTTTATGTAGAGTGTTCCCCAAGTACCAAAGTGAAGTCCTAGTCATATATACTGTACTAACTAGATATCTACATTATGTGTATGTGTAGAGTGTCCTCCAAGTAGTGCCAGCGTGAAGTCATAGTCAATGCACAAATTCTAGATCTATGGAAAGGAGGTGATATTTCACTTTCCAAAGTAAAGATACACATTTCTCGTGACTAGATATTTGCCTATGGGACCAACCATGCCTTCACTTGCCCAACCGCCTCCAACTTGCTTTGTCAAGAAATTTTAAATTTATTAGTTATATATAATTAATTAATTTTTTAAATATAAATATATTATTTAATCAAAAGCTATTGGATTCAATTACTCGACTTCTACCTGTGCCCATGCCCCTGACTATAGAAATCATTTATACAGTCAAATTATTTATGAGATAATTATAAATAAAAATCTTCATGATAAATATAAATCTCATAAGCAGAAATGGTGTTCTCGAGAAAGAGAGAGAGACCACTCACTGCATGCATACTCCCTTTATTCTTTGCCCACTTCCACTGCTCGAAAATGAAACGTAATTAGGTCTAAGTGTAAAGAATTGGACCATCTATCATCTCCTTCTTTCTTTTTTCCAGCGGCGGATGTAATATGGACTAGTTAAGCGGGTTTTAGCAGAATTCTCTGGTTCCGGCTCGAATCCCAAATAAATACGTGCGTGAAAAATAAGCGTAAATAAAATTAGATATATGTATTATAATATCAACCCTTTCAAATCAGGATTTATGTCATCTAAAGTTTGAATTTGCGACTGCTTGCATTATGGTTATAATCATCTTAATCGGGTGAAATTTTGATTAGAATAATATTTGGGCATAAGATTCTTAAACTTCACTTTTGCACAGTCAATAATATGTCATGAATTGTGCCTGCAGAACAAGAAAGAAAAAAAGTGAGAGAAAATAGAACTTGGTATTTGGTTTTTGAAATCCGTATTAGCACACAAGTTCGAATTGCTAATGAACCTCAAAACAGTGAGATATGTATGACAAGCAGGGACGGAGGCACAAGCCGCTCGAAGACCTCTGGGACATGGAACAGTACTTTAAGGTTGTTCGTGCCCCTTTTGACGACCAAGGTACAATGGCAACAATCTATCTCTCCGGGACTTGGAGTCCGAATTCAATAACTTTTGCTCAAACAATATAGAACCCAATTATTAACACTTGAAATCGTGATTCAAAAATTCAGAACTCATAAGATTGAAATTATGGCTATGCCTCTGATGACAAGTAAGTTAAAGTTTCAATACAACAACAACAACAATAACAACATCGACCCATTGGATAAAATTATCCTTTGTTATTATTGTTGTTATATCGAGACATGAGCAAACTCACACAGACAGAGTTAGTTAATGTGGGAGTAAAAGTGGAGCCAGAATTTTTACTGAATTCTGAATTTTAAAATAACGACTTCAATTGCTAATAGTTGTGTTTTAAATTTAATATTTTTATATATTTAATAAATTTATTAATTTCAACCCGTAGTTGGATTTATGCCTCCGTCCACACATTTGGTGTAAATATATGATGTGCGTAAATGGTTGCACCAATATCCCCGTTGTCAGTCCAACGTATCTGGTGGAGATATAAACAAAGAATGAAAAGAGCTACAAGCTTCGGAAGATATCTTCCTCTTCTATGGGGGACCCAACCACCCTTGTGAAAAGCGATAAGATTTCTGTGCCTAATAACCACTCTGTTCTTTTCACAACCACTGGTTGCCTAAATAAGAAATACTTTCTAATCTTCCAAGAGACTCCTCCCACCTCTACACCAAATTGTATCTTCTTTACAATTAAATAATCATATCATATTTCATCACACACACACACACACACACACACAAAAGACCAACAGACATGACTGAACTGAAAGAGGATCAAGAAGATCAGAATCAGCAGCCACAAAGGCGGCTCTGTGATTTCTGCGGTGAAAATACTGCACTTTTATACTGTAGAGCAGATTCTGCTAAGCTCTGTTTTAGCTGTGACCGTGAAGTTCATTCCACTAATCAGCTTTTCACTAAGCATACACGTTGGCTGCTCTGTGATTCTTGTGATTCATCTCCAGCTTCTATATTGTGTTGTACGGACAGTTGTGTTTTCTGTCAGAATTGTGATTGGGAATCTCATAATCTGTCCCTTTCACCTGCTCATGAAAGGAGACCACTTGAAGGTTTTACAGGGTGTCCTTGTGTATCTGAATTGTTGTCAATTCTTGGATTTGAAGATTTGGGGAAGAAGGCTCTTTCGTATGGGGACTCTGTTACTTCAGATGGAGGAGGATATGGTTTCTCAGATTGGCTTGTCTGGGATACTCCTTCTGTTGTTAGTCTTGATGATTTGATTGCTCCTAATGATTCTGCACATAATTTTCAAGCTATTGGGGTTCCTCCTCTGCCCAAGGTTCTTACTCTTCACAGACCCTTTTAGCTCCTTTTTCTTTCTAGTGTGAAATCATCCTGTCTATCCTTATAGAGTTTAGTATTTTGCTTTTATTCTTGTAAGTGTTTTCTTGGCTGCTCTACCATTTGGTGTTTACTGGGGTGAATATCTGTTTTATCTTGCACCATATTTTACAGGATTATAAATAAGACTTTACCATAGTCTAAATAGTTTTTACTCGGAGGGGAGCCTTTTAAGTTTATGGGTTCCAAATTTCAGAAAAAGCAACTTAATGAGGTTCCGGATAAATTATTTATACATAAATTAAGTGAATATTTTAGCCAAAGCTACGGAGTTCTGTCCAAGACGAGTTACTGTTTAGGTATTTGTTTATAAGAGTGAAGAAGTGGAATAGTAACCTAGACAATAAGGAGTGTAGATTAAATTACAGTGTAAAAACCTGTAGTTTTTTGTGCTAATAAAATAGATACTCTTTTTTTGCTACTAAATAGCCTTTAGCGGAGAGAAAAACTGCTGTGATTTCTTCTTTTATTTATTTATTTGTTTTTGAAAGCAGAACCGAAATGCTGCATGTGGGAAACACAAGGAAGAAATACTTAGTCAGCTTCGTGAACTATCAAAGCTGGAACCAAATTCTAGTGATGATCAAGATGATATTGTAGCATTTCAGTTCATGGAACCTGCCCAAAATCGTCATTTGGGATTTAAAGGTTCAGGATTTATGCAGAATTCAGAGCACGCTGTAGTTCCTTCCTCTGAGGTAAACCTTCTTTTACCTAAGCACAATTTCTTTTTCTTTCTTCATTCTCTGTTGGTCTTGTTACATGGCATAGTTCAAAAAGTAATAGTATAAGTTTATTTTTTGTACCAAAAATTGTATGTAGTGCAACTTGGCTGTTAAGATTCTTATTTTGCTAATCACATTTATGATTTACCAAAAAGAACAATCAAACTTATTTTTTTGTAATGTGATCTCAACGTCACATAATCTTGGTCCTTGCCTGCAGGGAAGTGCCTTTAACTGGTGCAGTGATACTGGAGAATTCACAGATCAAGGCTTTTCTTCTTCTTTAGCAGATTGCTTCATTGAAACAAAGTGTTTACTTCCCGACAGAGATTCAGATGTTGGTGATGCTTCTGGTGGAGCAAATGAAGAACAATCTCATAATCCTTCCATTGCTGAAACATTCCAAATGGTACCTAAAGTTGCTCATCGTGAGTTAAACAGCCAAGAAAGAGAAACTGCTGTCTCACGGTACAAGGAGAAAAAGAAAACAAGGAGGTATAGACACTCGCTTTTTCATTCTGTGTTTAGTCCTTTCAAATTTCAAGTCTGTGGTGTATCAGTGTATAGGCCTCCTGTGATGTTCAAGTCTAAATATTCTAAATTTCTTATTGCTATCTTTTAAATGTTTTGCATATTAGGTGTTAGCTTACTGGGTAAGGGTTATTTGCACCTGATATGTTCTGTTTAAACTGTTAGAGTTCCGGTCCAACAAATAGGCAAGACACTTTACATACCTGAACGATATAATTTGTTTGTGGTTGTTTGTTCTTGATGTAACACTGTCGGCATCTCTCAATCATCGAATGGCTATAGTTCCTTTCCAAATTGTGGTACTATAGTTCCATCGGAGCCATTCACTATATTATAGGATGGACGATTTGGGGGCATAGAATGTTATATATCTGATCTTCAGATAATCATAATTACCAACTTATCCTCAGAGAACAAGTAATGAAGAAGAAAAGTGGCAATCTGAAAAGGAGCAGAAAGTTATCGAAAAAGACTACTAAGCTTGTTTGGCACTTTGAAATTAATTGTGAATAGATGTTTATAAATCCTGTGTTCAACAAGTTCCTGATGATGTCAATAATGTCCTATATAGCTCCATATTTAGTGCTACATTGACTAGATTCTGTGACATTGCTTTCATTCCACAAGACATGTACTACACTCAAATTATCTTTTTAGAGCACATCCAAGCGCGCTTTCTTTATGACAATGTAAAACTCAATCTTGCATCCAAAGTATGATTTATCTACGATCCTGTTGTTCAAAAAGTCAAAATAGGAGATGCTTTATGATGGGCTCTTAAGACATTATGGACCAGTTATTGTTCATTCTGTCTTGATTGGTGTTGTCTTTTTATTAACTATCATGTTTCTTGACTGAGATGTTTTCATCAAGATATGAGAAGCATATTAGGTACGTGTCAAGGAAGGTTCGGGCAGAAAGTAGGACAAGAATCAAGGGGCGTTTTGCCAAGATGGACATGCATCAGTAATGTCAAACCTTCTTTTTCCAAATAAGGTTGCGGAAGCAAACAATCCAGGACATTTTGCCGGTTCATTTGGTCTGCCGTAATGAAGGTTTTGTTAGTTTGTGTCATGTGCATTGTTCAAATCTTTTATCAGCTCTCCGCATCTATAGAGGCAATAGGGAATCCTTTCTTTCAGCATGTACCTATAATAATTTGTAAAGATAAAAGTTGATAAATCATGTAGCTGTGCTAAGAGAAGAAAGAGAAAAGAGTGAGATTTAGTATAGATGTTTTATCTATAGCTTGCTGTGGTATGTAGGCTTTTGCTGTTCAGCTCATAACTCATTGAAGTATCTAATCAAATTAGTCCACTTCTGCATTCTGTGTTTTAAACAGCTGGTTCATATATTTTTTGGAATTTTTTTTGTTAGTTCCATTTAAACAATTAGAGTGGATTGTACTGACCTCTTTTTCGCATGTGTGAGCGTGATGAGTAGAAACTTGCGATTGTTTTCTTCCAGTTCTAGTCATTTATTCTGTAGATGTGATGGAATTTCAATTATATCGACTCTTGAGGCAGGTTGATAAAAAGTTCTGCTGGTTAATTATGCGCTTCTTTGCACCAACATCAACCTCTTCACTACCTCCTCTTTCCCTTTCACAACTCAAAGACGACTTATCATTTTTCTTTTTGTTAAGTAAATGGACTTTGAGCTGAACTGGACCCTAAAAACTAGTTACCATAGCACGAGTCCTACATATGGAAATTAAACACAATAACATGGATTGAATCTTAACTTTCATATGATGTTAAGAAAATGGGCGTTATAGGATATATAATGAGACGACAACTCATATGATGTGACTCTCGTATTAATGTGGGACAGTTTAATATTTATGTTCTTGCTCTGCAACCGTGCCACGTTGAGCGTATCATTTCTGGATGCATATCTTAATGGGCTTGAAGATTTCTTGCTCCCCATTAATTTTGACTTATTAATTCCCTTAGTAGTATTTTTGGTTGTTGCTATTCAATAGTAGGAAGTATAGCTTCAGATCCATTTCTCCAGGATATGATCAAGATATGGTCAGGGGCGGATTTAGGGGCGGGAGGGGTACATCGTCGAAAAATTACACTGCATATATAAAGCAAAATCTGTTTCTTACCTCTATATATTAAGTTTTAAACCCTCTTAACACAACTTAAAAATGTAGTTTAGTGGTCAAGGGGGTTCAAAACCTTTATAAGGTTATAGGTTCAAATCCCACTATCAACAAAAAAAAATTTTGAACCCCCTTTTGTGGAGATCCTGCCTCCGCCACTGGATATGGTGTTAGGTGAACTGATAATGCTAGAAAGAATTTCAACCTCCGCCACTGGATATGGTGTTAGGTGAACTGATAATGCTAGAAAGAATTTCAACCTCCGCCACTGGATATGGTGTTAGGTGAACTGATAATGCTAGAAAGAATTTCAACCTCCGCCACTGGATATGGTGTTAGGTGAACTGATAATGCTAGAAAGAATTTCAACCTCCGCCACTGGATATGGTGTTAGGTGAACTGATAATGCTAGAAAGAATTTCAACCTCCGCCACTGGATATGGTGTTAGGTGAACTGATAATGCTAGAAAGAATTTCAACCTCCGCCACTGGATATGGTGTTAGGTGAACTGATAATGCTAGAAAGAATTTCAACCTCCGCCACTGGATATGGTGTTAGGTGAACTGATAATGCTAGAAAGAATTTCAACCTCCGCCACTGGATATGGTGTTAGGTGAACTGATAATGCTAGAAAGAATTTCAACCTTTTTTAATAAGAGATACGAGTACAAAGTACGTGATATAATAATCAACTTACGTTATTCAGAAGGACGAGAATTGCTTCAACACCATGACTAACTTATAAAGATCGGATTTAAGTTATATACGCTGACGGTCTAAAGATTTTTTGTGGTATCAAAGTAATCTAAGTTATTTGTAGTGCTCTTGATTAACAAGAGAAACCTTGGAGCCACGACATAATTGTCTTTGTGTGACCTATAGATCACGAGTTCGAGATGTGGAAGCAGGCCATAATATTAATGAATGGGTAGGATGTCTACGTTATACCCCTTGGGGTACGGCCCTTCCCTTTACTTTATGTAAATGCGGGAAGTTTTATGCACCGGGCTGCGCCTTGTAGTGCTTTTGATTAAGAATATCGAATGTCTTTTTTAAGAGGTGATCGAAAACTTTAAAAGACTAATATGAACTGGAGATAAAGGTTATATAGTTGGAATTAAAGACCGTGGGTGCAGACTAAGATTGATCAAAAGCCCAGTGCATTGCCCAATTAGGCAGGGATTTGCCGGCGTTGCTGATAATATTTGTGAAATTCTGTGGCAATAGTACCATTGATTAATGGTAGGTGTATTAGTGTAGTTCATTAATTAGATCAGCTAGTGAGCTTTTTCAAATTGCAATGTACTGGCTGTGTAGCATACTAATATAGCTGATAAATAACACATAAATAGAGCGACCATGAGTACAAGTTGCTGCTTTCATTAACAAATTCGAGGGCCATCATATAACTCTTTTGGACTTATAAATGCAACACCCTTTTACTGCTTTAAATATTTAGAGAAGCTGTTCTGTGAAGATTCAAAGGGAGGAGCAACACCAGGCAAAGAAAGAAGAATGAACCGAGCATAGACATAACAAGAGCAGCTCCCCCTTGGATGCAATATCTCTTGAAAGCGTAACAAACCTTGTGCCAATGCGTATGAGAGTTGCCATTCAGTGCAATGACTCCAATTGCAGCTGAAGCCCCGTTGGCCGAGAAGAGCAGCGCCACCATTGTGAGGTCTAGAGCAATAACAAGCATTGAAGAGCATGCCCAATTTCTTCTACTTCCACCCATATTTAGAGCTGGAAACGCCATTGATGTTGCTGCATATGCACATGCTATTGCATTCACTACCACAAAGTACCTGTCGTTAATCCACATAAAACATCGTTTAACTTTTATACACTGACACTGCAAATAATTTTTATGAGGAGTTTAAAGCTCTAGGGAAGAACTCTAGCGCAACAAATAGGAAAAGTACTCCAAAAAAATATAATCTTTTTTTTATTTGGACGTATTGTGGCTATAAAAGTTACAACATAGACATCAAAAGGAAGGTTATTACGAAAAATTACATTAGTGATTAGAGCGATATCCCCTTGCTTTAGATAGAATTGACTTCTTCCTAGCAAAGAATTAACAACAACTGATTCAGTTGTCCTCTCTATACTCAAATGATTGAATATTTGTCAAGCAACATAAGTGTTAACCTGATTAAAAGCACTCATCGCTTTCCACAAGTAACAAAATAATTATCTGCTAGTCATATTTCATTCAGATAATGCCGTAGCCAGGACTTCAGAAATTTTGGAAGCTGAACATGCTCAAAAGATGCTTAAAGACATTGTAAACTATGTCAAATAAAAGATAACTATTGGTAATTATCCATAATAAGACAATTTACCTGCTAAGTTTAAAGTATAAGGATACTACAAAATTAAAATTATTTATGTTGTGAATATACATAATAAGTTGAACTCATATTGCAGATGACTTTGTATAGTATTATATGCTAGAATAATTCGCTTACACAGTGGAAGACATATAATTCCATTTGGCAGTTAGAGTAAGGTGCAAAGGAGGTAAGCCGTCTACGAGAGTTATGGCAACATCCTGAGTATCTTTGTTGGTGCCAGCCACAATAGCCGCTACTAGAGTGAATATTAGCCCCATCATTCTTAACACCATTTCATAGCTTCTACAACTATTTTTTGGCTCAGAACCTGTGTTATTTATCTCCACTGTCTTCATTTTCTTGATCTCCTCGCTGCACCCATCAAGTTCTCCTCCATTTGTGTCCATCATATATAATGTTGCAGTTCTGAATTCTTGATAATAAAGACCGAGGGACAACGTTCAGTATATATAACAAATATATCATGGAGCAGCTAGCGACAGGTGGTTGCGTGCAGATACATACTGTAAGTGAATAGAAGATTAAATAGAGATCTGTAGCAGTAGTGCACCAGAGAAATGAATTATGATAGGGTAAATGAGGTAGTTGTTTACTTACCCTGTAGCGTCGGTTGTCGGGTAGTACTGTTGCATTCAATTCAATCAACCAAGTTTTATTCTCAAACTATAGTGTATTGCAGTGTGGATGAGTGAGAAGGAGAAGAGAGAGGGAGTGGTGCATTATTATTAATAATCTTCAGACTGTTTAAATTTTAAATAAGCTCATATGACTGCTGAAAGTGTACCTTTTCAGAGAGTTTTGTATGTTCTACATGATATTTATTCCCTATTAGAATTTCTTTCTCTTCTCAGTGCTCAGAAATTTCAAGTCGTATTCTTCCGGAGCTGGAATTTTGTCACAATCCTAGAAAGCAAATTCCTTAAGGACAGAGAGTACTCTATCAAATTAAAGCGTCTATGCTATAATATAGTGCATGCTTAATTAGATCAGAGCACGGCCTAATGCATATGAGAATTCCCTGTAATTTGAGTATTTTTACACAGAGTGGTCAACAATAAATTCTCTTTCTTTATTCAGATTTTGGGACAGCTATACATTTCTAGATGGAGTGGGGCTTTGCATTCAATGGAACATCAATTATTAGGATACATCAAAGACAAAATTAACAAGGAAAATAATGCACGTTATCTTGGGCTGGTTGCTCATTGCATTAAATTCTCCATACACCAGCTAGCTCAAGTTGCAGGGAACTGTTTTATTGATGGATGCCTTGTTGTGGAAACAGGAAAACTCCATGTGGATCCCTTTCGAAGTTCTCGTCTTCATTTGCAACATCTGGGGATGCCTTTCTAGATTCGTTATGTACATATCAACAATAACAGCGTTTCGTTGCTAATCTCAGATTTACACCAAATCGATTAATACAAAAAATATGTCGTATATGTAAACTCAATGATCAACTAATTAAACCAGTCATTCTCAACTTGGTTGCAACTCGTAATGTTTATCGCGGAAAAGTATATCCCTTATTGTTATGTCCCCAAAAACATTTTCACGCAATTAGGGATTTGGCTTCAATTCCCACTTTCCCATTTCCATAGGGAAGATATTATCTATTCGAAGTTGGTTCAGATCTGTTGTGTCTTTGTTCAGATCAAAGTTATTATCCTTTTCTCTTACTTGATTTTACTTTGATTTATCTAGCTGATTTTTCCAATTTGTTTAATTGAAAAGAGCAATCGTTTTGCTCTGCTTCTTTGCTAACCAGTGGTAGCGGCGATAGCTCCTTCTGGTTTTTGGGTCGTGGTATTTTCTGTGTTTTCAGGAATTCTCGGAGTATTGGAGACAAGTTGAGCGCACGAGCACTG